TAAATGCATATGCTAGTAACCCCAAATATATGCTAGATTCAGCCTTAAATCATACAAAGAAAATAATCGTACTAGACAGATGTTTGTCAAGAAATGCATAAGTACTCTTCACCAATGAATACCTAGTCAAACAAACAGTTAATGAGCATTTCTAACGAGCAGCAGGTATTACATATAAACTAAAAAGCATCTTAGATGAATAGTTCTCTTCATATAACCCACTAGCAGATATTAATCCTGACATATACAATAATCTGATGTCATCATCCTCAGCAGAAGAATGGTACTCAATCATTTTTTCTCTAGCCGATGGCAGAGTACCTGGCCCTTCCAAGATCTCGAATAAAATGCTTAAACATCTAGGCCCTTAGCTAAAAAGATTTTTTGGTATATAATATGTGGGTGTTTATCAATTTCAACACTTCCGTATCGTTGAAATTTGGCGTATGTTTATTCAATTCCAAAACCTAAACCCTGGAAATTTGATCTAAATAATATGAGGCCCATTACCTTATTGGAATGCCCAAGAAAAGCTCTTATAAAACTTATCAACACGAGAATCTCAACTATCTTCACCTAACACAACATCCTTAAAGGATATATTTTGTAGAGCTGCCCTTTCGCTCTACCTTTAAATCCTTACACATCTTAGATAATATCAAAAATGACGCTCTCTCCAATAAAAAAGAACTGTAGGTTCTTTTACAAGATATGTCAAAAGCCTATGATCAGGTCAATATTTTCATGCTGGTTAAAGCTCTAAACATTTAAAACTTCCTAAAGAATTTATTTTCTTCATCCTAAATATATTTATATATAGAAAAAACCAAGATTTTACTTCTTATAGGCTCACAGACACATATAAGGTTTTCTTGGATATTGATTAAGGTGAAATTATATCATTACTTTTGTGGTGCATCTACTATGATCCTCTCTTATGTAAAGTATAAAACTCTGATCTAGGATATACAATGTCAGCAAAATGGAAACTTAATGTCCGCTTTAGTTCTTTTGAAGATCAATCATGCAAAATGTCAGTTTAGCATATATAGACGATATACTGTAGATCACTAAATCTAAATATCAACTCAACGGAATCATAGATATTACCAACAGCTTCTATGACCTGAACAGCATCAAAGTAAATTAATCGAAATCAGATTTTCTAACGAATATAAATACAATCCAAACTATCCAAACACATACCAATGACTCCACACATATGATTACTATCATTAGTCCTCAAGATTCTGTTAGATACCTAGGGGTTTAGGTATCGCTCAAATGTAACAAGATGTTTATTACCAAACAAGCAGTTCAGGACGTTAAGTGCACAATAGCTATTTTGTCTATAAAAAAACTGACAGATAAACAACTCATATACATATTCAACGTTGTCGTAATTCCACGTATTGAGTATTGTACACAACTGACTTACTTATCAGAAACACTTGCAGATCGTATTATATGACCATTCAGAGCTTTGCTAAAGAGAAAACTCTATTTATCACGAGATACGCCCTCTTGTCTCTTTCACTCAAAACTGTTTTATGGAGTAACACACCTTTACCACAGATACATGCAAATACTCAGTGATGTGCTATTGACATCTATAAATGACACTGGTTTTTTAGATTTATCCACTGGCATACGACTGCTATAGCTGCAAGCTAAGGAATGGTTATCTGCCTTTCTGCTAGTTGAATGGCCTTACAAAAATTCAAAGTATTTTAACAACTGAATCTCAGCACTCTTATGTAACCTCAAACGTTTTAACATTAAATTATCCCTACCTAAATAATTTACTTACAGAATACAAGGTGGATCCACTACCATTCAGTCAATAATTTCACAAGACTACAGGAAATCAGCCCTGTTCTTGTCCAAATATTCCTTAATATTTGTAGAACAATTAATTAGCAGAGATGGAAGATTATTTTATACTACCAAAGATCTAAGATATTTGTCATCAGTCCCTAGAAAAGGACCATCACTGAAATGATATTTTAAGGCTAAAAGTGCACTCAATGTTAATGAACGTAACTCTTTGCCTGTAAATATAACATATCGCTCAGACGTCACTTATAGATTTCCGATGCTTTCTTTACAAAATGAAATAACAGTCTATTCATTTGTTACGTACTAGGATCACAATACCAATATGATGATAATAGGTCATATTCTCAAAATAATTGGCAGTTTGGCTAATGTCGTTCACTACTCATATACTCATTCCACCGAGACGACTTTATATCAATGTGACAGATGCCCACTCAACAAACCCTTCTTATTTAAGAGTAACTCCCTATCCTTAAGAAATACAACTGCATAGTGACAACGTCCCTTGGCCTCTATATAAATATATTACTCAAAGATACTTGAAAATAACACGTTAGCACATAGTCATCAAAACTTATGAAAGATATTGCATTCTATATTTTTAACTGTTCTTATAATAGTTTATCTCAGTTACCCCTGATTAATTTTCGCCGTCCTGCACCTTCCACATTAATATCAAAATTTATTATATTACTACATAGCCAAGCCTTACTAACTCTTTTACAACAGCTTTCTACTACTACACATTTAGAATTCTATACAGACAGTTTCCTTATAGGCTTAGGCACTTCTTTTATGAGAATGAGTATGGCTTGGTTACAAACGTATCCATGTTTACCTATAGTTTCTTTTTCATCTACTTTAGTCACTACTTTTCTATCACTATCAATAGTGGAGTTAGCAGCAATTTTTACTGCCATCCTAGTTTCCTCACAGAATTACCATATTACTATTATAACAGATTCACAAGTTGTAATTAGACAATTCCATAATTTTAAAAGGATCTCATGTTTTTCTTTGACTACTAGACCTCTATTCAAGATTAATAATTTTCGATATGGCTGAGCCTTTTTGAGGTTATTAAATTATAGCACCTCAACATACGCCTCTGTAAAGTTAAAACATTCTCAAGAGAAACGTTAAATGACAAAGTTAATCAACTTGCAAAGAACTCTTACTGGACAGTAATACTCAGGTTTGATCTCTCCTATAGCGATCATTACTATTACAAATATAAAGATTTGGAGATCTCAATACTCATACGACTCTTCATGAAAAATATCACTCAATCCATAATGTTTGACAAGAAACAACACTTTCACGTGATTAGCAAGTATCAGCATTTGAATATTAACTGAATCGCAACATGTTTTTACATTAATGACAATGTCGCTGTAGCACACACATCATACGAAGCTTCTGCAATCTGAAAGAAAAAAGTCTAAAGACTCCTGGAAATGTTTCCTACCATGGAAATTTTAAAAGAAAGACATCCTGGCATTTTTGATTCATCATAGCTTTATGTCAAATATGATTGTGCAAATAAGACCTTCTCCCACATTTGGAAATGTCTGATTATTTAGACTCAAATGAAGATCATCATACAAGATTCACAATAAGTTCTACAAGACTTAATCCATAACAATAACCCAACTTTAAACATCTCCAATTTACATATATGGCATATGTTTACTGAATGTTCACCTTACTTACCTGCTTTCATGAAAGGAATGGTTCCTTAATCACTGTACACTTTTGTTCACAATGCTATAGAATCAAAGGACTTTACTTATACAACGCTTTCAGCCTTCATGCATCACCTTTTTGAACAAACACAGGCAATATGGGTTTATCGGTGTTTTCAACAAGCTGCTTTTGAAAAATTACACAACATTAATTTAAAAACAAAAAAAGATAACACCTCTGCAACAGGATATCATATCATAAACTTCGCTTCTTCCACATACATTAATGAATCTGTCAATAAAATAGTTCGATACGGATCCCACTGGTTGGATTTTTGGTGCCGTAGTGGCCAAGCCCTTTCTCATTCAGTTATTTACTGGAATATGATATTCTTAGCTTAGGTTAGGAATAGATTCTGGGAAAGTGTAGGGTCGGTCTTAATTTAGTTTAGATTAAATAGAGATTTTTGTATTTTCTTAAATTTGTATATTTTAACTTTGTTATTTGTACTTTGAATTTAATAAAGATCATGCAAAACTACCGCACTTTAAAAAAAAAAAAAAAAAAAAAAAATATTTTTTAAATGATAAATTTTAATATATCGGCTATATATAATTTGATTGGTTAACCTGTCAGGTCAGGTTTATCTGACACTTCTGTACCATCAGAAAGACTTTTTTCTGATGCTAATAATTTAGTTACTCCCCAAAGAACTCGCTTAGATTCAAGTATCATTAATAAAATTATGTTTTTAAAAAGAAATAGGAAACATGTAGACATATTTGGGGTGAAAAAATAGTTAATTGGATTGGAAATGAATTTTAAAATTTTAATTTTTTTGATAAGTTTGTATTGAACAATTTAATATATCTAAATAAATAAAATTTATTATAAAATAAATCATTGATTAAAAAATTTAGTTAAATTCGCTTAAAATTGTCTCGCGAGATCATCGAAATTGCTGCGCCACAAATGCATTAAAAAAAAATGATTGGCACTGTGAAAATTATTATATATAAATTCGGTTTCATTCGATTAATCGAAATCGAAATTCGAATCGCCAAATCGAATCTTAGAAATGATTATCGAATCTTTAATCGATTCTCAAGATTCGATTTTCGATTGAATCGATTCCAATCCCTAATTAAATCATCTTCACTTTTAGATTCATATTCTTTAGAAGTTTGCCTGGGCTACCGCACATCACTGCATTGAAAATTCAACGTTTATCATGTGTCATTTGCGAGACGGTAATACAAGAATCTCATGATCGGCGCGTCGAATTAATCAGCATCATAATTACATCAAGCTTCGTCATCCCCAAAGAAAATTATATATCGGGACATGATGTACGACGTAAAAAATTGGTATATATGGTTTACTTGAAGCTCCCGTAATTCAAATAAAAAATTTTTTAAATCATAGTTGTTTTAAATCATAATTATTGAATCCACAGCAAAAATAACATAATAAAGATGTTAAAAAGATATACTCATGTATATGAATCAATTATAATATGTTTAATTTTATTTATAATTTGGAATCTTTCTTCCATTAATCATAATGAATTCTTTTCAAATGAGTACGAGAACGTGAATGAGTCTTCAATATTATCTGACACGGAATTAAATCAAAAATATTGTGGTTCGTCGCAATGTAAATTCCTATTTCTATATAAAGTTATAGAACAGGAATCAAAAGCTCAAAAGCATTTCAAACAATTCGTTCAAATCGCCCAAAAACTTGATCGAACGTTAGTATTAACGAACGTTGGTGAATCCCGAATCGGCGCTTGTTTAAAATATCCATTTAGTTATTATTATTCAAAAGAATTTCTTCAAAAGAATTATCCCGATTTAAGAGTTATAACTCAACAACAATTTTCCGAATGGACGAGATTACGTAGACAGAAACCTTCCTCCCATCAAATCCTTTTTCAAGAATCTCATAAACTCGGATTTGTTGAAAACGAACCGATTCTTTCCAAATTAAAAAGTGATTTATGTCATGGTGAATTCGAAGTTGATTTTGATAACATCAAATTTTATAATTTAAATATGGGCGTACTCAAACCGGGAAAAATTCATAAGAATTTATTAAATTTTATTTTTGACACCCTTAAACGATTTGACGATGCTGAAATCTTATTAATGAATCAAAAATTTCATTATGAATTCTTTCCAAAACGTGTACCCGATTTAAAGTATGCGCCTCATATAATTGATAAGGCTTTGACGATCACTCAACATTTACAACCATTCATAGCTGCTCAATGGAGGATGGAACGTGGAAATCCTTTAAATATGCCAAGATGTGCTGAAAAGTTGGTATCACACGTAGAACATTTAAAAGTCATTTATAACACTCGAAATTTTTATCTTGCTACCGATTACCCTTTAAAAGATTCTTTGTCTCAATCCTTCACATTTAATGATGTGAAAATGGAATATCACGGAAAAGCAATTGAGATTTTAAAAGATAGAATTGACTTTCTTAGTTGGTTAAATTACACTTTAACTGATCAATTTGGTAATGAAATGGATGTTAAAGATTTCGCTCACAGTGGTATACCGGGAATTTTAGATAAAATCGTATGTTCAAGAGCAAAAATATTTTTGACTGCGCCTCCGGATTGCAGAAAGCGCACCAGCTCTTACACGAAGATGATTAATGGTGAAAGACTTTCTTTGATGAAAATGGGTGTTAATGGAATTAATAATATAAATTTTGAATGGTAGATTTGGGGAATAAAAAAAGTCTCAACCCTACGTTTGTTAGAAGGCATTATATTTATTATTTAATATTTAAAATTCATATACTGTATACTAAAGTAATAAAATTTCAATAACCATAACTAAAATAGCGAACAAGAACTTCGCGATATAATTAGAATTCACTCTCTCTTATTTAAATCCATCCTTGCTTGTATTTCAAAAAATCATCATGAAAAGAAATGTGAAAATTTAAGCACTTCCGTATAATCTTTTCTTTAATCTTGCCCAACGCTGACGGCATGAATCACCCGAACGATTAAGATGGTAATTTCTAGAAATTTGTATCCAAGATGGAGATAATTGAGTCAAAACTCCGTCAATAAGTTTTCGGTCTTCCTCAGGAGTCCATGGTGTAACATTACGAGCTATCGCCAAAGGAATACGTGTTTGGTTTGAAAATTTTTTGTTGGAACTTTCTTCTACTTCAGATAAAGTATGAGATTCAGGTGAATTTGCAGAGAATATAGAGTTTGGCTTAATAGAATTGGGACTCCATGGTTCCTAAAATACATATCAAAATACATATATATATATATTTTTGAATAAAACGATCCGCAAAGAATTTAATGAAATTAAAAAAAAAAAAATCATACCTCTTTGCCTGTTGTGGGATTAATGAAGATAACATCATCATCTTCTTCCGGCTGCTTTTGTTCTTCAATCATAACGAATTCGTCTTCATTTTGGAGTTTATAGATTGAATTATTATGTGATTTAATTTTCTTAAATCCTTGCCTTTGAGAAGTTGGATATTTATCGTCCACATTAAAACTTTCTTCATTTGTAAGGTATATTACTTCACTAAAAACTTTGTCCTTAACCTCATCTCTTGGCAACAATTTATTATAAGCTTTCATAAAACATACATATATATATTATTTATCATTATAAGGAAATTAAATTCACAACGCGCGATAAGATAAAAATTTATACCTGCTAAGTTTTTCTGACCCAAGTTTGATTTTCTTCCGTTATCATTTTGATTCGTTCTTCGAGTGTTGTGATAGCTTGTAGTACATTGTCTTCCATAAAAGGTTATATAATCATCAGCAGTCATTTCATCATCTGAATCTCGTCCTCCTTCTTCTTTTATAGAACGCAATTGCGAATCCGAGACATCTTTACTAATACGTTTTAATTCATCTTTGTCCTCCTTAATATAAGAAATCTCGTGTTCATTATTATTTTTTTTCAATTCAGCGAATGTAGGTCTATCATCGATAATTTGATCTCGATAATGTTGATTATGATCCAAGAATGGAATTTTCTCAATAGTTTCCACAAGTTTTGTATCATCAAATTTTAAAACACGAGGGGTAAAATCTACCTCTTGATTTTGAACAATTAATTGTTCTTTATCATCATAATTCGGTTCCATTTTAATCGCATTATTCAGAAATGTAGTATTTGTTCTTTGATAATTAGAACTGATAATCTCTGAAACTTCCTCCATACAGTATTTTGATAACAAGAATTGTTGAAATTACCCTTATGAGAAAAAATTTATTACAATAATAAAATATACTTCCTTTTTGTCAAATAAATTGATATATTATATACTCGGATCAATATCATAAAGATCATTACGTTTTCGATAGCAAGATCGGATTAATTCGTAAGTAAAATTATTAATTTTCAAAAAAAATCATATTTTTTTTTTAAAAAAAAAAAAAAAATTGATATTTCGAAACATTTATTGGGTTTACAGTTCCTTTGAAAACAATGTGCCACAACAACAACAATAATAACTGAAATCTTTTTATGAAAAAGAAATTTATTATAATATCTTTGCAAATTTACAAATTTTTAATTTAAGTTCTAACACCCAAAACAGCAAGATTTCGCAAATTTATTATATTAAAGCCGAATAAATATCCAAGTAAAAAGGATAATGTCGCCCTATCCATTCTAATTATGGACCCCAGCAGAATTATTGGCTGTCGAAACACCTTTACCACGTGTCTCATTTAACATTGCTAAAGATGTAAAATATTTAAATATCAAGAAATAAAGATTGATTTAAGATCTTTAATATTAAACGGTATCGCGAGACTTACTTCTATGATTTTTATCAGGTGACTTTTCATGTCCTTTATGAGATTTATGAATAGTTCCATGCTGAAGAATTTGTTCTATGACTTCCATAGTGTTGGATGTGCCAAAAGCATTTTCAAGTCTTTGTTTTGAGGAACGACCTGCTATACCTTCATTACCTCCATTCACTATTTCAAAGACATCGAAAGCTATTATGAAAAACCATTTTAGTCAAGACTTATTGCTTCGTTAAAAAACTAAAAAACTAAAAAAAAAAACACACTTTGAACGACATCAGCAATTGGAATTGTTTTATCTTTTCTCCATTTCAAAACCTATCAAGAGAGAGAAAAAGAAAAAAAAAGGTGAGAGATCATGTGAAGGATCACTTGCAATTAATTTAATATTTACCTGATCTGGATTTCCAAAAACGAAAAATTCTTCTCGGCTATCTTTAGATTTGTAAATAATACGGGTATCATCTTGTGAAACGGACATCTTTTTTAACGTTGTGTAAATTTATTTTGAAAAAAAAAAAAAAAAAAAAAAAATAAGGAAAAACCTAAAGTTCAATAGTCTCGAAAACAAAAGTATTTATATATTCCCATAAACCTGTGATGAGCCTCTTTATGATATCATTATATGTAATTGTTTTTCATGGCGTGTGAAGATATTAACAAAAGATTTCCAAATTTGGCTAAATTTATATGCCTCTGACGACACTCTTAGTGAATTGTATCACGTGCCGTTTTTGTAATACAAACACCCAGACGCTATGTATCACATCTAAAGATGGTCACCGCATTTAAAAAAAATGGCGCAATTGAGTTGCAACTTGTGGCGCAATTAAATTTCCTTATGGCGCAATTAAGTTACAACTCAATTGAAATTTGAAAATAATTATGGGGACCATCTTTAATCACATCATATATTATATGATTATGTGTAAACTAAATATTTATTTTTAAATTTAAAAATAAATTTATTATCAAATTTACTAATTATAAATCTAATATTTTAAAAGTTTCAGTAATACAAACTTATTGCGCAAAAGCTTACTATCGCTTTTTTCTTACTATTTTGGTGAAATTTGTCATTTCCATGTGACTTTTACATTATATCAAACAAAATTCGCCAGCGAATTTTCCTCACATGATATGAAAAATAAACTGAAAAAATCGAGCTTAAATCATAAACTCACCGCAGAAATCGAAAAATTTAAGCCACGTAATGCTGGCTACGTCACAAAAAGCACAGAAATTTTTTTTAACTTCTCTACACAGATTCCGTTCAAGATCTTTCAAAAAATGATAGGGTTTATTGTTGTAGGATGAGCGTTCCTGAGCAAGGGATCTGAAAAAATTACAATCATTTAACGTGAGGCACCGTTAATGTATAATTATTTTTTCAGGTTATCAGAAAATTCCGGTATAAAATATTAAACTCAGCTTATACTTTAAATACCAGAATGGTTTCTACCAAAGACTTTGATGAAATTGATACCTAACTGTTATCGAATGAATTTATCTGAGGGTAAAATAGACATTATTCCTGTGCATCACAATACTGGTATGCTATTTTTTTTTTGATTTTATATAATATGAGTTGAAAGTGCTAAATTCAATAAAAATACAAATAGGCCGAAGAGAAGCTATTCTTGGTAATCAGATCACTACATGGTGCCTTAATAATATGGCCTTAGTTGGAAAGTTCGGCAGACTAAATTTATGTTGAAAATTATCATATTGACTCGCTTTTTTCTTTGTATTAATATGATATTTATTTTTTTAAAAAATATAAATAAATATATATATATATATATATTGTCAGCGTTGAAAATTTGCCCTAAAAAAAATGATTTACAAAGTCATTACATTTAATTTATGTAGATCATATTAAGGAAGATCTTGATCGACGTATTGCATTAATTTGGAGGATTTGCAAAATTCATCTGATT